CATTTATTGTGAACAGAAGACAATAAAGACTAAGAGCTGCTCATTCAGCTATTCACCTGCAACATTTACTGAAATAATGAATTGAGAAAAAGTGTGAAAATGTTTGCTTGTAAATGTCTCAGTGCTTTGTGTTTGCAGGGTGCTTTATTACTGTGCTCATCAACATGTGCTGCTCTTCAGCTTGTGGTTTTCTTTTCTTTTCTCTTTTGTGTTTAAGTTCTTTGGGTCAAACCCACGTCCTTCAGCCCCTGCATGTGTGATAAAAACAGGAACTAGTTCTAAAGTACCCACTCTTAAGAAATGTTCCACTCCGTAATAAAGATGCTGTAAATGTGTGGAATATTTGAAAAATAAAAATAATTATAAATAGTTCTTTCTCCGAGTTTTATTGTAGATATCTGATTTTGTTACTTGAAGGAAGCTCAGAATTGTTTTTGCTAGTACAACAAGTACAACCGACTGTAGTAATAAACACATAAGAATGCTATGTATCCTCTGGATACCTACTTTAACAGGGTGTTGCTACTAGGGGTCTGTTGAGACAGTTCCTTCAGCATATACAGAGTGTGCGGTAGCCCCTGTGTGACAGGCCAAGACTAGTATGAGTCTAGGCTCTTGGTCGTATTCCCTTAAAGGAATCTATTCCTGATTTGGCTATCTATTCAAGCATCTGTTAACAGATACCCAGAAGTACTGGGCCAAACAGGAGAGTCAAGCTCAAATACAACCCTCTAAGCTGAGGGGAGCACTGCCTGAGACAGCATTACACAAGAAGGTTCTCGCAAATGCCACCTATACTTCCCGCTCGATGCCTCAGCAAGAGGGGATATCCTGGTGATCGGGAGGCCCCTCAGGGTGACCTAGATAGAGTAGACCAGACAGGGCAGCCTGAAAGCATAAGCCCAGCCCGGATGTCCAGGAAATGTTTGCAGGGCTGTGCCGGGGGCATGATGACCAAGAAGGCTCCCGCAGAAGCCTGTGATCTGGCCGCATGATCCAGGAAGTATGAAGCCAAAACCCGGCTTATCGTACCATATGGACATATATTGATGAGTGAGATAAACACTGCAAGTCGAGCACCCGGTTTCTGAATCCAGCAGAGGGGGTGCTCACCGAGGACCTACCCTAGAAAGGGACAGAAACACACAGGTCGTGGAAACACCGCAAAGAAAGCTAGCAGAAGGATTATACACACAACCACCAGCGCATTAAATACACACATATATATATATATACATATACACATATAT